AAGTCCGATTAAATTCCGATAATTTGTTTATGCGCAAGAGCTCAAAAATGGTCGAAATTGTCCGCTTTTTTCAATTGCTAATAATTAATGCAATTTTCATCGCAGACACTTGTAATTCAGGAATTTTGAAGCTTTTTGCACCCTTAATAAGTGGTAAAAATTTCAGCCCAGAAACTTCATTAGCTTGGCGTTGGCGGAATTTGTTATCTAAGAAGATGCTATTTTCAATTCATTTTTCCCAAGCTCACAGGCGTTGTAGGGTTTCGATCATTAGTTGTTTTTGTACCTAAATAGTTGTATTGACATATTAATTTACTGATAATTTAATTTTTCAAATTAAACTGCCACAGATCACTTTTTTACAAAAACTTACCTAGTCAAATTTGCCACTTCGGCTTTTATGTTTTCTGAATTTTCATTTCCAAAACGAGCCATTTTTGAATTTAAAAAAACGCGTGAAATGCGTTTAAATTATGTGACGTTTAAGAAGAAAAAAATATGTCATGCACCATAAAACAATGTCTACCTGTCAAGCCAACTTTATTTTGGCGAAATAAGCTTCAAAATGAAACATGTCAAATTTTTAAAATTCAACGGCTACTTTGCAAATATTGCGAAAAGTACCAATGTTTGTAGTTTTTTTTTAGCTCAATACATGCCCATGAGGCTTGTAAATTTTAAAATCGAAATTGAAATATCGAAAAAAAATTCTAAATTCTGAACAAATTTGAAAAAAAAATCAGAATTTTTAAAAATTTTTTGGCGCCCATTTTATATATTTATACATTGAATATTTCAATTGTCGAAAAAAAAATTGTTTGAAATTAAAAAAGTTGAAAAATTTGATTTCTTTTTAATTTAAATTTTTTTTTCGATATTTGATGAGTATTTCACGTGAAATTGTAACGCAAAAAATGTATTTCATCTTAATCATTATTTGATGTTTAAAGAGCATCTGCTCCTTTAATATCTAGTGACACTTTCCATGAATAAATAATAAGTTTAGAATGTCTGCATTTAAATAAATGTTAACGTTTTCCATTCTTTAGCAATAAATAATACTCAAATAAACATTCACTGAATGTGCTAAATTGACAACAATAAACTGGTGACAGATTAGGTCCTTGTTTTGAAGTTCCACTAAAAATTTCACAGCCATCCTTGCAAGAAATTATGCGACTACACGAAAAACACCTAAATATTTTAAAAACCAGAAGAGATAGGTATAGGGAACCATTATACCATCCGATCATTGGGTTGCGTAAAAATATACAGGGTGTTTCATTTAAAAAAATAAGTTAAGATGATTTAAAGTTGACTAAATTCGGCATTAAATTTCTACCACCCTGTTTCAAATTAAGTCATTTTAAAATTATGGCAGGGAAGCTTAGAGTTTTAGTTATGCCCCCTATAAATTTTATTGCTCTAACTTTATTATTGTAAAATACACATCTTTTTGAATTAGGCAGTGCTTTTTTAATTTTTTTCGAAAAAAATTAAATATATCAAAAACGGTTAACTTTAAGAATAGGAAACCCTCATGAAAGTTCACCTAAAAATTGACGTAGAATCAAAAATTGCAATAATATACAGGGTGGTCCATTTAAAATAACGAAGAAAACGTCCACTCCCGGTATAACAGGAAGTGTTAGGTGGACGCCATTATTTTAGTTGAGAAGGGCATACCCGAAAACACTATTGCCCAAATTTTCAAAATTAAAATCTAAATAGTCTGAAATATGTCTAATGCCTCGTCACCCTGTATTGTGATCTCAGTTTATTAAACAACAACAAATTAAAAAACTCTTGAAAAGAATTATCTCTCGGAAAACCAAAGCACCAACTTTAGTCCATTTTTTACTATTGCCTTTACTGTGAACAAAAGATTGTGTGACTGTAGATCGCATATGTATGCATCACCTTTAAAGCGAAAAAAAATTATTCAAAACTTGGGTAAAAACGTTACTGTGATATTGCGCTGTAAACATTGCCGTTCTTGGCTTCTTTATATTCTGTTCAACTCATTTTCACGCTGTCCGTTTGTGTTTCAGTGGACCTGCTGCAGATGCTGGAATTCAACGTCACTGTCAGCTTTCCGGCGGCCCCTTTGCTGACCGTCATCCTTGCCCTAGTCGGTGAGTACAACAAACAAGAGAAGGGAAAGTCCTCTAGTTAGTTTTATTCCTTTTGTGGTCGACACCGCCTCCCCTGTTCCCTTTCACCCCGCTCTCCCCACCTCTCCCCACCTCCCCCCCACCCGGCACCCGACCCGGTTTCAACTTTGCTTTTAATAATATTAAACCAGCCCATCCGCGAAGTTGGTCGTTAATAATTCATTTGTCCGCGTTCTAGGAGGAGAAACTTCTTCTTTCTTCGGAAGTTGAGGTATTCGGTGGGTGCATGTTTGATTAATTGCGATTGTTGACGCGCCCGACGCACCTCCACTATCGAATGGCGCTTTTGGGTACTTTTTAACGCAGCGCCTCCTTGATAAGTCGGAGGAATCGAAACTTGTTAAATTCGGCGTTCAAATTCAGGTGGAAATCGAATAAACGTTTTGGCGCCCAACATAGGGCTGTAAAATACTTTTCCTTGCAAAATAACAATGATGCCTCTAACTTTTACGTGGATTAATATGGTAATGAGAAACATTGACATAATTATGCAGCTAACTGAATTCAATATTCAGTTTCAGTTTGGCGCCCAACGTGCTTTCAAATGTTTACATTTTCTCTAGAATAATGGGAAGCTATAGCATTTTCAGCTTAAATTCTATATTCAATATCACGTGGGATATATGTGTTAGTAGACGTTAAGATATGGGAAAGGAAGACATCTCCAATTCAATATTTAAATTCTGTTGAAATTCATTTAGAAAATTTATTGCCAATGTGGGCCATTAACATAACAGAACATAACATAATAATATCTTAATCTTTCTCTCAAGCTACTACGATTGATAGAATAATGACATTTACAGCTTGTTAAATTCAATATTCAAATTCAGTTGTAAATTAATTAGAATCATTTCGTTTCGGTGTTCAACGGGGGGATAAGGTATAATGACGTACATTTAATACATATTACCATAATTCCTATGCGTTGTAAGCGATGTCTCTTGTAGTATATTAAATTCAGTATATTATAACAGTTTTGCGAACATCTTGGCGCCCAACGTAGGACCATCACGCTAGCCTAAAATAATACTCTATTTCTCTTCTAGAATTAATAGAGTGATGAGAAGGGGTGGCATTTACAATATACAAATTAAAACATTTTGACGACTAACGTAGATCTATAGCATGTATTTAGTTCACGTTAACCCAAGATAAGTATCAAATGGGGTGGTATGACGTATATTTAATAGTCCCTCTACTATCTTATGCAAGTTTCATGACTATTGGGGCTAGAGGAAAGAATGGCACTTGTAATTTGTTAAATTTAGTATTCAAATTTCAGTTAAAATTCGATTGCTATATAAGCATTTTGGCGCCCAACGTGGGGCCTAAACTACTAGTTCTAAATAGTATTATCTCCAACTTTCTTTTTACTACCAATTAATGGAGTACTAGGAAGTGATGTTATTTGCAGTTAAATTCAGTATTCAAATTCTGTTAGGTGGAGATTTTAACATGTGAAGTGATATAACATTTGGTCTTACATATTAACCCAAAATCATACATTCATCTATATAGTAGGATTAATAGAGCAATAGCAAGCGACGCCATTACGGCTTATTAAAGTTAATGTTTAAATTCCCCTGGAAATTAATTTGATTGGTTTTATAAACATTGTGGTTCAACTTGTGCTATAACATTTAATAATACATATATTTAATACATATTATTTAATACATAGTAATACGAAGGGTTTCATTCGTTTCGCTGGCAATATGTTAAATTCAGTGGCAATTTAGTTATAAACATTTTGGCACTCGGTGCAGAATTACGACATATGTCTCCCCAATTTAACAATATCTCTAGTTTTTTCATTAATTGCTATAATTAATAGAACAAATTATATATTTGGCGTTTGTTAATGTGATGTTTAAATTTAGTTTGAATAAATCTTTGATATGTCAGAGAAAATAAAACTTCTTAAATTATTTAAAGTTTGGCGCCCAACGCTGAATACTTTTAGCATATTAGCCCAAAGTAACAATATATTAACTTTTTCCGTAACTACAAGGATTAATATCTATGGTAATAAGAGATGTCAATACTCAACTATGGTATTAATATAACTTTAAAACAATTTTGGCGCCTAACATGGGACTAAAACTTTACTAATTTTACTTTAACCAAAAATTATAGTGTCCATACGTTTTTCTCTAACTACTGGGGCTAGTGAGGTAATGCGAAGGGGCGGCTTATTATTATTCCGCCGTCGTGTTAACCGAATCGAAAAACGATTAATATATTCTTGTTGACTCAGTGTCAAGTGCAGAGAGAATCTCTGCACCCTACGAATCTTGCCGTTTATTTTTTCAGCTGCAAATTTTAATTTTATCTGGTGGCGTACACCCTTCCGGCTGGCGGGCGGGACGAGACCGTCCGTCAAGCGGACGCGGGGGCAGACCGAACTAAAAAACGGGCACATAAATAGGTCGCCGCCCCGGCCGGCTGCGATGCCTTCTCTACCGTTGCGTTATTTTTCCAAGACGGCGGGCATTAATTGCAGGGAACAATTTACGCGCGGCAGATAAATTGCTTGTCTTTTAGCGAGAACTGCGGGCGGGCGGGGAAGCCGCGCTGAATATGAAAGTGGATGCTTCCGCGGTTATTAATGGCGCCCAGCGACTAAATCAACAATTGGGACGGCTGATAATTAGGGAGTATTAATTTCCCCATTAGTTTTTCAGCGGCGCCGCCATATCCCATCTATTTCCTCGAGGAAAGCTTCCGTTTCGGGGAAGGGACAAAACCACCCGTATTTGCGTGTAGTTGGATCAGTTTTTCTATTGGTTGAATAGTTTTTTACGCAGCGCCTCTTTGATGTATCAGAGGAAATAAAACTTTTCAAATTAAGTACTTAAATTAGGTTTGAATTCGATTAGATTAATTTTATAGACATTTTGGCGCCCAATGTGGGGCTGTAATGCACTTTTGGCAACAACAAAGTAAGAATAATATCTTAACTTTTTTTCTGACTACAGTGATTAGTAGAGTAATAAGAGGTGTTAATATTCAATGTTCAGTCCTGTATAAGTGGTACAGCGTTTCTAACTTGCTTGGTCAGTCAAAATACTGCTTAAGAAGTGCTTCTACGATATCTTTCAATATTTCAGTTTTTTACAGCTACAATGGTTTTTTGTCTTTCCCTAAACTTCACTAAGTAATCGTTTTTAATTTGATTTAATTTTAATTTTGACCAAAATTTTTAACAAAAAAACAAATTATAACAAAATAATAATTTTAGAATTGATGATTTACATAAAAAATGGCATTAACGACCAAACTAACATCAAATATCTAAGTCTGTAAGTGAGGTAACTTACCTCCCTAGGGAAAAAGCGATTTCGAGTTATAAATGCATATTTTATAAACAAATAAATATAAATATTTGATGAACATTACATTTTTTATTAATTATTATGAATGAATGTTTTAGTAATTGTATAGTTATTACATTCAGTAACATTTATAGAATCTGGATAATTATTTGACCGCTCCATTTCAGTTACCGGAGGCTCAGTATTATCTGATTGATGCATTAAAACAGCATGATTCGACGTACTACTAGAAAACTGGAATTGAAGTGTTATTGTAAAGAATCCTGTTGGTTATTTAATTTTTTATACGACTGCCTTGCAAAAGGGGGTTTTGCGCACGGAAAACACGCTTTGAAAACGGTATTTTGCACACGCCGTGTGCTAAACATTTTGCACACGGTTATGTCATCTTTGCACACGCGTCTCCAGATTGTGATTTTTGTTTGATGTTGTCACCCAAATTATGCAATGTTTCAAGTTGGCTGAGTTTCGTAGCAACCGTCACGGCTCCTTTATTTTGTTGATTAGATACTTCAAAAATTGTTGAATTCCCGAAGTTTGGGTGTGAAAATGTGTGATTCTGAATTGATTTTACAGAAAGCAAGCGAAATATGTTCGGAACTGCTGCCCACAAAATCCAGAAGCAGATATAAAGCTGAGTTAAGCTGGCGACTAGCCAAAAATGTCCAAACTTTCTCAGAAAACGCAGTAATGGTGTATTTTGAAGAACTATCTAAGAAATATAAATCTTCGACGTTGTGGACGATTTTTTCGATGCTCAAGTCAACGTTAAGTGCCAATCACAACATAGATCTTGGAAGCTATAAAAAGTTGCAAACGCTAATCAAACGAAAATCCGAAAACTACGCCTCAAAGAAGTCCCAAATCCCCTCACAGAAGATGATTTTTGCCGGTTTCTGACGAAAGCATCAGACGACAAATATTTACTTATCAAGGCGGTGGTGGCAGTTGGACTATCTGGGGCATTTCGAAGGGAGGAATTATGTTATCTCAAAATAGAAGACACCAAAGATTTCGGCAGTGCTATGCTGATTAAACTGAAGAATACAAAAACAAAGGTACCAAGGTGTTTTACAATTACAGGAAACCTTTACACTATCTTAAAAAAGTACTGTGCTCTTCGTCCTCCTAATCTGAAGACAGGCAGTCTTTTTATAAACTATCAAAACGGAAAATGTTCAAGCCAAAACGTTGGCAACAACAAAATTGGAAACATGGCTAGGGAAATCGCCAAGTTTTTGATGCTAGAGAATCTAGAAAGTTACACGGGACATTGTTTTCGGCGTTCATCGGCCACAATTTTAGTCAATTCTGGCTCAAATCTGCTTGCCCTCAAACGCCATGGTGGGTGGAAATCCAGTACAGTTGCCGAAGGCTACGTTGATGACTGTTTGAGAAATAAAATGGAAGTTTCGAAAAAGATAGAGTCTTCAGTGTCTTCTGCTGCCACAGAACCAGAACAACGATCGTCTACTGGAATACAACAAGAAAACAACGACCGCACGCTGAAAAACTGCACTAAAAACACGACACCAAAAATATTCTCTATTACCGAAAACAAGGTGCACAATAATACTGCTTTTCCCAGCGTAACCTTGAAGGAATGTTCAAATGTTACCATAA